CCGTTGCAAGAGGTGATGCAGATATTTATCTAAGATTGCCTGTTCGTCCTGATTATGAGGAGAATATCTGGGTACATATCATTAGGAATTGTATGCATTTTTTTTTTATTGTACTAGTATTAAAAAAAATTTTTTTAATTAGGATCATGCAGCTGGATGTGTTCTTATTAAAGAAGCAGGAGGAACAGTTGCAGATATTTATAATAAACCTTTGGATTTCTCTTTGGGAAGAACTTTAAAAACCAACAAAGGAGTTGTGGTTGCACATTCTAAAATATTCGGACAAGTGATTGATGCCGTTCAGCAAGCTATTTTAAAAAAATAGTCAATAATCACTTAGAATTACCTGATTTACATTCGTAATTATGATTTAAAAGAATGTATTATATAAACAGTTTTCAGTAAAAGAAAAAAACTCTTCTTAATATGACAAGTTTTCAATAATAAAAAATTGAATATGAAATTTGTAGAATTAAGCAACTTATCATACGGTACTTTCAAAACTGGTTATTGTATATTATCAATATCAAATATTTGTTAATTTTTGAACGGTCTTGTGTCATGATTACGTACACAATAATTAAAGGTACCTGGTTATTCAAAATAAAGAGTAAACTAGAAATAATTCGTTTACACCATTTATAAGATGACTTTCAATTTAGTATTAATTAATTTTTTAACGGATGGTTTTTAATAATCCGCTCTACCCCTTGTTCGCAAGCTCACCTCTAATGCTTGATCTTTGTTTTGCTAAATAATTATGCTTATATAAGTTGTTTATGAGGAAACACTCACCAAAACACGTCAAAGTACGTCACCGCTCTACGTTTATGCTTCATTCTCCCGAATTTTTTACCAGGCAATGGTCATTTAAATTCGTTATATTCGCGTTTATTTATCGATATTAAAGATCATTCCATCAAGATCCTTGATCAAACTAATTTATAAAAAAAAAATCCAAAAAGGAAATTGATATTTCCACACCCTTTTTTGATAATGCCACACCCTCGCCGATCACTCTAATTTTTTTAATTTTTTTAAAAACTTTAATTGAGAAATCTCGACATACATCTAATCAAATTCGTTGAACTATTTTTTATTTTAATTGTAGAAATCTGTAGATTTAAAAAAAAAATAGTTCATCGAATTTGATCAGGTGGATGCCGAGATACCTTCGATCAAAGTTTCACAACAATCTGCAACGCGGCTTCTACTTGGTAGACGTTTAAAATTTACAAAATCTTTGGTCGAAGATATCTCACCAACTACCTGACTAAATTAGACGAACTTTTTCTTATTTTAATTGCTGAAATTTGTAGAATTCAAAGAAAAAAAAGTTCATCGAATTTGATCAGGTGGATGCCGCGATATCTTCGATCAAAACTTTATTTGATAGATGTTAAATTTACAATACTTTGATCGAAGATACTGTATCTCGACGACCACCTAACCAAATTTGATGAGCTTTTTATTTTAATTGTAGAAATCTGTAGAACTCAAAAAAAAAAAAAAAAAAAGCCTGCCAAATGTGATCAGGTAAATGTCATCTTCGATCAAAGTTCAAAAAAATTGTAAAAATTAGAATGATCGGCGGGCGTGGCATTATCAAAAAAGGGTGTGGAATCCAAAAAAAAAGATACTGTATATAGTTTAGAACAATTGTCTATTTTCATTAAAGAACGTTACATAATCGAAGATTTCATGTCGGATTTTTGGGAATTCGGAGTGCACCCTCTACTATAATCACACCTTCGAGATGCAAAAAAATCTAGTCCTGGAAATTATTTGGATAAATACCCATATAAATTATTTAAAAAAAGGCTTTGTCGGTTAGTAATAATACTGGAAAAGCGGGATCGTTGGGTTCCGGAACATCAACTTCGTGGTTTATTTCAATGTAAATCAATTGCTGAGTTAAAAGTTAAAGTACCTATTGTTTGAAGTTCCTCCACACGGCTCCGGAAATTACAAAGTTAATATACTGCGTATATTTTTTTTAATGTAAAAAAATTCCATAATAATAATAATTAATAAATAAATAAAACGCGCGTATACTATGATGTGTTGATTAAGGCAATACACGTCACTCTGACTATATCGAGACATTAATAATAAAATTAAAAAATGTCGATATGGAGTTATACCGACATTTTATATTAAAATTTTTGAAAAAAATGTCGGTATAGAAAGATTTTACTATGATGTCGTTATATCCAGATGTTGGTATACCCAGAGTGACGTGTAGTTTTTTGCCGTTGTTACTATTATTAAATATTCTACGATCTTATTAGTCCAATCTTGCTGGACATAAATTCTGAAATTCATTATTTTTATAATAGGTGACTTTTTAAGTTTATCAAGTATAATTAGGATTGCAGCAGATAGTATACTCTCTATTGATTCCACTATTTTCAGATGTTACATAGTGAATCCTATAAGAACAAATTTAATTCTTTTTAGCAATATTTGAATTAATCTATTATAAATGTCGATACGAGTTATACCAGCATTTTATATTAAATTTTTGAAAAAAATGTCTAAATAGACGGATTTCACTATGATGTCATTATATCCAGATGTCATATTATCTTACAAGAAATTCAAGTACTATTTCTTCAGCAATGCATAGTAAATAATTAAAATTTACTTTTAGGTATTCTTGTAATGTTCCTTCATTTACACATTGTACTGTATGTATAACCATATTATAATGGGGTATATATTTCATATACTAATTAATCAAACATATGTGAGGTACATATTATAGTAAAAATCAATAGTACAGATTTTATGCATAGATCAATACATACAGTGTTCTATTTGGGCCAAAAGTGCAAATTTTTTTGAAAAATTCAAAAAATTGAAAATTGAAAAATTCGAAAATTTGAAAATTCGAAAATTGAAAAATTCGAAAATTTTGAAAATTGAAAATTTTGAATTTAAACTTCTAAATATAGTAATTTAATTACCAAATATAAAGTGTTGGTAATACAAATCACATGACTTTAAATTTCTTGTTACCTGACACATGCTCGTGGGAAACGAAAAGTCTACGGACAGTGCTTAGGGACAGTGATGGGTCAGACAGTGATGATCGGACAGTGATGGGTCGGACAGTATATAATCACGTGATTTCTGGACAGTGCAGATCTACATATGCTTAAGTAACGATAATCTATTTTATCATTGTCTTGTATTTTTACCAATTTTAGCCTAATGTTTAAATTTTTAAAATTTTATTATTAATGAAACTTGTAAGATAAAAGTTAACTACTGGTATTGTATTCTATTTAATTATAATTAAAGCCTAACTAC